ACATATCACCTAGTAGCAACTGTCTCAAATCCCAATGACTTTTTAAAACTGGAATAATAAGGAAAGAGTTAAATAAATACTGGTGTGCCCTTAAAAAGGAATATTATCAGCTGTGAAACTAATGCGTCTAAGTCATACCAGTGATAGAGAAAATCATCCATGGTGAAAACGAATCCAAGTGCAAAAGTGAATATGCAATATTATTCCAACGATGGGTAGAGAATCCATAAAGGCATGTATATGCACATAAAAGAACTGGAAATAAATACATCAAATATTAAGAATAATCCCTGACTGGCAGGAATAAGGTTGACTCTATTTACTTACTATTGTTTAAAAAGCATTCTAAATATTATTTTTCAGAACGAACCAACAAAGCAAACATTTTTCTAATGGAAATGAGAATAGGTAGGAAATGACTAGAAGATTATATATTGTTGAGAGAAGGAAAAACGACAAACATATGTTGACTCTTAACTCGGCAAGAGTTGGCGGGAAAAGCAAGGTCAGGCTCCCATGAGTGGAAATCAGTCTCTTGTCTAATTTCGGGCCAGTCGCCCGTGTGTAAGTTGCACATGAGGAATGAGGAAAGGTGTGTATCGGGGTCTGGGTTGATCATAATTCATGTTACAAACTTCTCATCCTCTACTTTATTTTTTTTTCATTTTTTTAACATTTATTTATTTTTTGAGAGACAGAGCATGAGCAGGGGAGGGGCAGACAGAGAGAGAGGGAGACGCAGAATCCGAAGCAGGCTCCAGGCTCCGAGCTGTCAGCACAGAGCCCGACGCGGGGCTCGAACCCACGAACCGTGAGATCATGACCTGAGCCGAATTCAGACACTTCACCAACTGAGCCACCCAGCTGCCCAATCTCATCCTCTATTTCAGAAAACTGGGGTCCTCAGACTACCCCCCATCTATCTCCACCAGATTGTTATCATTCCTCCAGGCTTCTGCCAGGCAAATTTGCCTTCCACTCCTTCACCCAAGCGCTCCTTGAGCCTGTGGTTCTCCACTCCAGCTCACCCACCCCACCTCTTCCATCATTAGGGCACTTTCTTGGATCTCAGCCCTCCCAGACTGACTTGCCAAATTAACCAGGAATGAAACTCTGGTCCACTGAACAGCCACCCATGCTCCCCCCATGGATTACCACTGAAATATGATTATAAATTGTTTTACTTTACCTATAGGATTGCGTGGACTCTTTTGGAATTTAATAGTTCAGTTCACATCACTGAAGTCAGATTGTAAAATTCCTCAAATTAAAACTAAACTCCTCACCCTGGTCTACAAGGCTTTAGTGGCCTGGTGTTTGCTAATCTTTCTGGACTTCTAGTCTTTCAAACACCCCAGGCCCATGCACTTTCATTCCTTGTACAGCCATTTCCTTCCCTCCAGTCTTTACATGGCATCTCCTTAGAGGGACTTTCCCTGGTCCCCTCATCTTAGGCAAGGTACCTCCCTAATCACCCAACTTCTTCTTCCCCAGAGCCCTCGTTATACTATTATTATTTTCATGTTTATTTCCTGTCAACTCCCATTAGAAGGTGAATCCCTTAAGGGAGATGCTCTGTCTTTTGTCCTGTGCCCAATGACCCAGCCCAATGTAGCACTAAACAAATATTCACTGACTGAATAATAGACATTATTTCTAATGGCTTCAACTTGTCCCATGAAGTACTTTCATGTAAAGGGTAATAGCTAGCACTGAAAAATAAAATACATGTAATAAGATACCAATAACAGGGCACCTGCATGACTCAGTTGAGCATCCAACTTCGGCTCAGGTCATGATCTCATGGTTCATGAGTTCGAGCCCCACATTGGGCTCTGTGCTGACAGCTCAGAGCCTGGAGCCTGCTTCAGAATCTGTGTCTCCATCTCTCTCTGCTTCTCTCCCACTCACACTCTGTCTCTCTCTCAAAAATAAATATAAACATTAAAAAATTTTCAGATAATATACCAATACTATTTTTCTAATTACTGCTGCCATGCCATTCATGTCTTGGGATAAAAAGACATCACCATAACATTAAAAGTGGGAGAAATGGGGAATAGACAGTCCTAAGAGGTTGGATAGACCATGAGATCATTGGATCCTGCCCTTGCTATTTCAGAGGAGAAACTGAGAAGGTCCCACAGATGGCTGATCAGAGCCAGACCATGAACCAAAATCACAGCAGATCTTGCCTGAGTCACCCATACCGGTTCTAGGGCCTTCAGGAATTCCTCCTATCCATGGATGCTTCCCTACCTCTGGTGGATCTGGGAGAGTTCAGAGAATGCATCATTTGTTGGGCTAAAAGAAGACTACGAGGCTTCCGTTCTTGTTCCGTGATCGTAGGCACCAACAGGACTCACTTCTAGCCCAGTAACTGGGTTTCCTGGACAACTGAGCATAATGGAAGGAAATGTTTGTTCAGGGCCTGGCCCAGGGACTTGGCTTTCTGCCCTCTAGAAATTGGTTTCACCTAAGCCAAGAAACCAGTTATCAGATGGGAATGGCATTCCATCATCTCAGCCTTGGGTCACCAGAAGCCTAGAGGTAAAAGCCTTTGGGACATATTTCCCTGATTAAACCATCATGGTATCCTTCTGACACACATGCGTGGAGGGAAGGAATGCATTATGGAGACTCAGTGAACTAATCTTTTTACAGCATGACGTTGGGCATGAGGATTTGAATGCCTGAACACTAACAGCATTTCAGAAGAAAAAAATCTTCAGTAAAGAGCTTCCCAAATGCCATCCGTGTGACATGGAGGGAACAGTCTAAAGAACTGTAAAGAAATAACGTTCTTTGTAAAGCCAAAGATAAGGTGCAGTTTGTGTCCCTGCTGCTGGGGACAGAAACAATGCTAATGGACTGGAGATCAGAAGGCTAAATAAGGGCCAAGGAACACTGTGGAAGTGGAATCTCCTGTTGTAGATTTTTAAAGTTTATTTATTTTGTGAGAGAGAGAGAGAGAGAGCGAGCAGGGGAGGGGCAGAGAGAGAGGGAGAGAGAGAATCCCACGCAGGCTCTGAGCTGTCAGCACAGAGACTGACATGGGGCTTGACCCCATGAATGGTGAGATCATGACCTGAGCCAAAATCAAGGATTGGACACTTAACTGACTTAACCCAGGTGCCCTTAAAGTTTATTTATGTATTTTGAGACAGTGAGAGAGAGAGAGAGAGAGAGAGAGAGAGAGAGAGCACAAGCAGGGGAGGAGCAGAGAGAGAGAATCCCAACGTAGGCTCAATTTCACAAACTGTGTCAAGAGTCAGACACTCAACAGACTGAGCCACATAGATGCCCCTAATCATAGTCACTTTTGAAGGCAGAAGCCTAGACCCTAGCTGGGGGATCAGGACCAATATGGATAATACAGCTTAATCTGGTGGGAGTCAGGAAGGGTTGAGGCAAGGAAATTAAAATTTATGGATGGTCCATGATGTGCTGGTCATTTTTCAATTGCTGACCCATTAATCTTCCAAAACTTACCACAAGCTCACTATTATCATCTCCCCTTTTCAAAGGAGTTCAGTGAGGCTAAGGGAACCTACAAGGGGGAGAGGTGGGAAGCAGATCAGGGCTCTTCTTATGTTATGCTGAGAACAAGGACAACCCCCACTGTCAGATACTAATCAGGACCATTGTTATGAAACTGGGTATTTTCTTAAAAGGAAAAAGTAAGCAAGGAGGCATCCTCTGGTTTATAGCCAAGCATCAGGGCCTTTCCATAGTTCTGACTCACGCACAGTTTCCATGGCCTTCCAACCTGGAGTCTTCTGCATTCCCAGGCCCAGCTCTGCTGGGGCTTTTCCCTGTGAGTTTCACAGATGGGGCCACGATCACCTGTAGCCTGTACTCGACTATCCAAAGTAGCATCACACCAGGATGACCTCTGCCCACAGGCAGGTAGAAAAGTCTCAGTACGAGTATGTGCAGGCTCAACCCAACTTTCCTGGCTGATGTTTGTGGTCCTGATCTCCTTGGGGAGCCCTGGGCTTTGTGGTTTCTTTTATTAGCGGTTTGTTGAAGCTGCATTTTGCCAATAAATGGGAGCCGTGAGTTCACTTGCGCGGCACAGCCGTTACCCTGTCTATGTGCTCCGCAGTGGGGCCCCGGAACCCAGCACTGGCCTCAGAGGGGAACTACTGTTTAAAAAGGTAGAGGGAAGCAGAGAGGGTCCAGGTTCATTGATATTGATGTGACCATGACAAAGAGAGGTTCTCTAAGCGGCCGCAGGGAAATTAGCTAAGCAGGGAAATCCTAGAAGCTCTCCATTTTTCACTGTTTGGTGATTCATGGGCACAACGTGATAATTTCCAGATATGCTCTGGACATGACCGATGGGAGCTTAGCCAGAGTTACCAGACTGAATGTTATCTATCTGTATTGGTTTTGTACGGTTGTTGTAACAGATTATCACAGATTTAATGGCTTCAAACAAATTCATTATTTTACAGTTCTGGAGACCAAAAGTGCGAAGAGGGTCTCACTGGGCTAACATCAAGGTGTCAGCAGGCCCGAGTTCCCTCTAGAGGCTCTGGCGAGAGACCCATTTCCTTGCCTTCTCCAGCTTAGAGATAACCTGTGTTCCTTGGCTCATAGGCCCTTCTCCATCTTCAAAAGCAGCAACAGTGGGTTTCATCCTTCTCTTAACCACCATCTCTCTGACTTCAAATCCAGGTAACATTAAGGTGTGGATCAACTAGAATGTGCTTGTAAGTTTTCTCTCTCCCTGTTAGGGACTAAATGTCTGTGTCTCCCCCCACACTGCCACCCACCCAAATTCATATGTTGACATCCTAGCCCCTAATATGGTGGTATTAGGAGATAGGGTATTCCAGAGGTGGTTAGATTAGGGCCCTCATAAGAAGAGACAAGAGACAGCTAGCTTCCTCTCTTTTCCACCAAGTGAGGCTACAGTAAGACCACCGTCTGTGAACAAGGAAGCAGGCTCCCATCAGACACCATGTCTGCTGGCACCTTGATCTTGGACTTACCAGCCTTCAGAGCTGTGAGAAGTCACTCCGTCCATGGTAATGTGGTATAGTAGTCCAAACTAAGCCACTCTCCAAGGTATTAATTAAGAAAAAAGGAAGAAAAATAAACATTCCTTGTTGGAGCTATATATATACCTCCTCTGGGGCACGGCTGGAGTCCTCGAGAATAACTCTAAGTCTCTTTCATGTTCTCTTTCTGCCAATAACTAAATATTTGACCATACGAGGTCAAGGTGACTTACCTGCAAGCCATGGTTTGCTCGTCTCTGTAATGGGCACAATCCCCCTGGTCCTCCTACCCTCTAGGACTACTATAAAAGTGAGTAAGATAAAGAAAAAGTACCTTGGAAAGGATGTCACTGTTGAGTCGAGCAGTTTCTGTGACCTCACCAAGACAGGAGAGAGGCCCATCCATGCCCCCACCACATGCCCCCCACCCCCACCCCTTTACCAAGTACACGGTTGCTCTCTTGCTACAGGTTTTAAGTTGAATTTATTATTATTATGCTTGCAAATTTGATTTAACTTTCATATTTAAATACAGCAATGTCTCATAAGAAGGAAGGCATCAGCCGGACCATAGTGGTCACTCGATGGATATTTAAGGAGTAAGAAATGAACAAAAGGGCAGGCAAAGGGGAGAAGGAGGAATAAGGCTGGGTGGCAGATGGTGGAGTCCCTCCTCACTACACTTGAGTAGAGGACGCTCACTTCCACTCTCTTTGGGAGATTTCTTTAAGTTCACCTTCCATCTACGCCCTCCCCGTCTGAAAGAAGGGGCACGGTCTCGGGCGCCTGGGTGGCTAGCTGGTTAAGCGTCTGACTCTTGTGTTCGGCTCAAGTCATAATTTCGCGGTTCTGAGCCCGAGCCCCAAGTCGGGCTCTGGGCTGACAGTGTGGATCCTGTTTGGGACTCTCTCTCTCCCTCTCTCTCTGCCCCTCCCCTGCTCCTGTGCTCGCGCGCGCACGCGCGCACGCTCTCTCTCTCTCTCTCTCTCTCTCTCTCTCTCAAAATGAATAAAGTTTTAAAACAATGAAAGAAGGAGACAGTCTTGAGGAAACAGGTGGTACAGAGGAAAACAGCACCCCCCCCCATACCCGTTGCCCCCGTGACCGCTTTGTTAAAAGAGCCTCGCTGTCCAGGGCATTTGTTAATCAAGGAAGCACCAAGTGACCTCAGGCTTCCTTACTGAAGGCATCTAGCGCGTAGTAGGCCCTGGAAATAACATTTGAAAATTGAGTGAATGAATGAGCTCAGGACTGATGTGTGTCTGGACACCACAAAGCACAGCCAAGAAAACACAGGACCACATTCAAATCGCATAGCACGGTGATTACTGATGGCGATGGGTCGTTTCAGTACTTGGGCGCACTCGGCGGTGTTATGTGGGGTTTTCACTGTTAACTCTGCTCCCGACGTTGTTGTTGCTGGGCTCCCAGGGGGGAATCTGATCAGTCTCCACAGAAAGGAGCTGAGCGGGCAGATTGGACCCGTCATGGGACCCACGGGCTGCCAGAGCCCGTCCCTTCTGCAACCTTTCGAGAATCTGAAACAAGCACTCTGTTCCCCTCTGCAACTGTCTTTCCCTCTTCCCTCCTCCCGGCCTCTCCCTGGAGCTGGGCAGCCACTACTTCTGGCAGGGGAGAAAGGAACCTCCTCTGAGTCAGGGCTGAGTGAATAGCTGTTGTTTCACCCTCAGGCCCTGAGGGCTTGGAGAGAGCCGACCTGCTTTGTCCACAGGAAACTGCTAGGCTTGGGCCCGTTTGTTGTGAATAAGCAAAAAAAAAAAAAAGTGTTCTTCAGATTGAATTTAAATAAAAACCACCCCCCCCCCCCCAAACTCTTTCCTTTCCTTTTGGGCAGCACTATGGTCCGGTGTCTGCCTTTGAGTCAAAGGAGGGAGCAGAGGCTGGCACCCTAAATCTAGAAATGGAGGCCTGGAGTCCAAGGGCTCAGGACCACAGGTCTATAAGAAAGATGTGGGTGTCAGAGCCCCCAGCCCACCCGGGCTTCCTGCCTCCAGCACTGGAGTGAAGGGGAGCGGAGAGCTGGGCCAGGCCAGGAGGTGGGGGGCGCCGGGGAGCCCGGGAAGGAGGCCCGGCTCCCCTGCCCCAGCAGACACCCGCAGGACGAGCGAGAGAGCTTTCCTTCCAAGCATTGCAAAGAGTCTCCAAGAAGGAAGCGCTCTCGCAGACAGGCCAGGAAGGCAGCATTTGAAGCTGCTGCTGGCACCGGGCGGGGCGCGGGCTGGGGCTCTGTTCTCCCACCCTCTGGCTCGCCGGGAACCCCAGGCCTCTCTGACATCATGGCTGAACATCAGGCCTGGCTTTCAAATGTTGGGGCTGCCCCGCCCAGCGCAGCCCAGCCAGCTGGACCCTCCCAAAACGGGATCTCTTGTCAGCTGCCTTTTATAGAACCATAAAACCAAAAGTTCAAGTAAGAAGCCTTAGACCAGGCATCAGAAAAGGCAGGCTTTGCCTCCTTCCATACTCTTCCTGACTTTTCCCCACGGCTGCGGCTCCTAGCATGTGACAGAGCTGCAGGGCCGCTGGCTTCCACCTCCCAGCTTCATAAAGATCCTGCAACTCCAAAGGCACAGTAACCTGCCAAGCAGAGGGCTCTGGACATGTGCTTTGGAAGTAGAAGAAGGGGGAGAGATGGGGGGAGGGTGTGCCACAACCACCCTCCCCCCCTCCCCAGGGGAAAGGAAAGATTCCTCCATAAAGTAGTAAAATGGAAGACAGAACTAGAAAAAGGTCAAAGAGGCAGCACAGGACCACAGTCAGTGAGGGCAAGACTTTTGTCAAGTGTCTGTGACCTCTGCTATTTCAAGCTCGGTCTTACGCATTTCATCCTTTGGCCAAAGAATACACGAGTTGGGCGTGGGGGTGCACCGCCAGATGAACTTCTGCTCAACTGAGTGTAGAAGGGAGAGAGCATTAGACATTTGGAGCTTGAGAAAGGAGTTGAATCTTTGGGTCAAGAGCCGACCACAGTCGACCCTAGGTCAATAATGGCGGCAGAAAGAAGCAAATGGGTAAACTCCGGTATTTTTGCCTCCTTAACAAAAAAATCGAACTAAGTTCAATGATAAAGGTCTCTGTGGTTCTTGGGGAAATGAGACTCCTACAGTTTGGGAAGGCCCTTTTATGCTCTAAGCATATGAGAAGAAAAATCAAAACCACATGGAACTCACCCGAAGGTCCAAGACGGTGGCTGAGTCAGCACGGCTTCCCCTGTGGGACCATCTTGTCCCTTGGCCTTATCTTTTAAGCATGGAGTCTAACTGCAGCTTAAGGGATTGATGTGAAGAGGAAGGAAGGGTATTAGTAAAACCCTTCTTTGCTCAAATTAGATCAGTTATCTTGACCTGATAAAGAGACTTTTTTTTTTCAGGTATAATACATGGGACCTTTCTTCTCTTGGCCTTGGGATATTAGCATGTACATCAAGCATTAACATTCCTGCGGGCCCCTCAGATTATATCAGACTGTTATGTAACGGGCATTATAAGATTGGAAAGGCTCTTAAAGATAATACCTGGGTCAAAGTCTTTATGAATGAGGCTGAGGGAGGTTAAATCACTTATGCTTTGTACACACCTACATTTATTCATCAAAGGTTATTATTACCATCACTCTGGTCTTGCTGTTGTTATTATTCAGCACCTACACACGCTTAGCATTGTTCTGCACACTGGGGAGTCCTCGGTGAAAAAAGGGGAGCGATATTCTTTTTTTGTGTGTGGAGCTTGCAGACTCCTTGGAGAAACTAACAAGTGAACAAGTGTGAAAATGGTATCTTTTCAGAATATGATGAAGACAATGGTGACAGAAGGACGATTGGTTAGGTTATGATGGGCAGGGAAGATCTCTCTAATCAGGTGACCTCTGAGATGAACTCTCTGAGACGAGACAGAGCTAGCCACAGGAAGCTCTGAGAGAACTGTTTTCTAGGCAATGGGGTGGCAAGTGCAAAGGTCCTGAGGCTGAAACAATCTAGGTTTCTTTTTTTTTGAGGCAGAGATAGACCAATGTAGCTGAAGTGTAGCAACTAGAATGAGTGAGGGGAAGAGCAGCATGAGAGCCACTGCCTACTGCCACCCTACCCCCAGCTGTCTACAAACAAGGTCCACGAACCTTTGTATAGTTCTGGAATTAATGTGAGCTTTGTGAGACCACCTCTCTCCTATTGTAATACTACTCAGGTTGCCCTACAAATTCTCGCAGAGAACAGCTCCAAGATCAAAGCTTGTTACCCACCCCCACATTACATTGCAGTTTACCATCAAAAGTCCAAGCCCACAAGAACATGTACTGTCACTGAGACCTTCAGACCTTGTTATAAGTTGGATTGTGTCCCACCCCGCCCCCCAAAAAGAGATATGGTGGAGTACTAACCCTTAGTACCTCAGAATGTGATCTGATTTGAAAATGGTTTTTTTTTTCTTCAGATTTAATTAAGTTAAAATGAGGTCATCAGAGTGGGCATTTTTCCAATACAACTAACATCCTTATAAAAAGGAGAAATTTGGACACATAGGCAGTCTTTCATTTTTGTTTCTTTTTTTCCCTTTATTTATTTTGATAGGGAGAGTGAGCAGGGGAGGGGCAGAGAGAGAGAGAGGGAGAGAGAGAATTTCAAGCAGGCCTCACACTGTCAGCTCAGAGCCCTATGTGGGGCTCGAACTCACGAACTGTGAGATCATGACCTGAGCTGAAACCAAGAGTCAGACACTCAACCGACTGAGCCACCCAGCAGTCTTTCAAAATCCTTCCATGTGACTGGTAACTCAGAGTCCCTCCTTTATCAAAATGCCCCATTTCTTTACCCTTTTCCATGAATGTTCTCCTTGAATGTCTTCTGTGACTAAAACCAGTCACCCCTCGAGGTGACCTTTCAACCTTCTGTTCCAGTGGCTTTTCCTTCCTCCCTATGGACACAGGGCCTAGAAGGGGGTTATGTCTTCCTTGCACCACATTCCATCCTCTATCCTTTATCCTCCCCAACCCCAGACCCTTTGATGCCCATAGCATCAGACTATACATGCCATTAACCACCCTTTCTTGGGTGGGTTAACCCCTGCCACCCTCTGAGCTTCCCCCCCATCTATGGAAGACTTGCACTGGCTACCTTTTACCGCCAACACCAGCTGCAGCCGTCATCTTCTTGGGTTATCTCCATGATCATTTAGATGGGCCTTTCGCTACTCAGGACTCTCAGGTTTTTGGTCTGTTCTCTTCCAACGATCTTGTCTTCTACACTCACTGGCTCTCTCCCATGGTCACACCCAGCCATTCAGTAGACACTCTTCCTCCTAAATCTCATTTTTAAGAATCTCACTCTCCAACCACCATTTGCTATCTTCCAGATAATTCCCTCTACTACCCTGACCTCAG